TGAAAAAAAAAAAAAAGAAAAAGGAGAAAAAACATTTATTCATTTATTGAGGCTGTATGAGCAGCGGGTAAATCGTAAGATTTACATCAGAAACTCTGTTGGATCAGGTGACAAGCTGTTAGGTTTTTGTGATCATCACTCAACAACGTCAACGTTTCCAACGACAATGTATCAACAACTTTTTTGATAGTCATAACAAAAATGATATTTGATAAAAATGTTTGAAAAATTTATTGTTAATTTTAACAACAGTTTTTTTTGTTTTTTTTTTTTGCAGTTATAGGCCTAACAGAATCAGGTTTTTGAACAGCTTTGGCCGTTATTTATTTTGCCAGAAACACCCTAGGCCGGTGCTAATCTGACGGCGATTACTTTTGCTTATTGGATTTAGCTGAGTTTACTCAATTATTGTTCGAAATTTTTTTTTTTGCTTATTTGGTGCTGCTGCTTTCGTCCTGTTTTGTTTTTACTTGAAAGTAATTCAACTTTTTTTGGTTTGCTTATTTCATGTCATTTGTCAGTTTTTAAGTGGCATTAATATATTGTATGATCTCAATCAAATGATATTCAATGTATCATGAAATTTTTTAATGCTTTTTTTCACAGTGGATGAGATAGAAAAGGAGGCAAAGGAGGTTGTGGAGAGACAGAGGCGGTAGGGTTAAACAAATGATCAGTATAGCTAGTAAAGCGTAAAGAATTCTGGAGAACTGATGAATTTATGACGATGATAGGCGATTAATTAAAAAGGATTTTTGGTCAGGAGCAAAATGAGGGTATATTTCAGTGGCGGATGACTAGATAAAAACTTACTGTTGCTGAAACAACAAAATGTTAAGTAATTTAGCTCACCTTATCGGCTGCTAACGATCAGTGGCGATTTGTATGAAAATCCACCAAAAGTAATCCACCTCTTCCTTTTTCTGTCTTTATTTTTCATTTTATTTGCTAAGATTAACTTAGCAAGTTTTTTATATTTAACAGCAAATAAAGAAAAACAATTTATTTCTTTCTTCTGATTGCTTTGTTTGTTTTTTTACTTTTTATTTATTTATTTTGTCCATCTTTTCTGTAATAATTAA